GGGAGAGAAGGAGGGGCGAGAGGAGAGAAGGGGGGCGACAAAGGAGGCGAAGAGGCAGGAGCAACGGGGGGAAGGAGGGACGGCGGAGGGAGAAGGGGACGCGGGAAGAAGAGGGCCGAAAGGAAAGGCAACCGCGGGGGCGGGGGGGAGGGAGGGGGCGGGGGCCGAGGGCCGAGGGCGGCGAGGAAAGGAAAGCGAGAGCGCGGGGCGGAGGGAGGGAGGAGGGAGGGGGAAGGAAACCGCGGGGGCGGGAGGGACCGACAACGAAGGGAAAACAGAAAGGAAAGAAGGCACGACAAAGAGGCAAGGGCAGAGGAAGGACGGGAGAAGCAAGGAGCAGGGGGAAGGCCGGGGGGGGAGCGGGACGAACCAAGGGGGCGAGGAGAAGGGGGGCGAAGAGAGGGGCAGGGCGGGCGAGGAAAGGCGGGGGAGGAAGGCGGGGAGGAGCGGAGGCGCGAGAGAGCCAAACCCCCCGACGGGAAGGGGAGCACAACAGGAAACGAGGGACGCCGCGGGGGAGCGAGCCGGACGCCCGCGACGACGGGGGAAGGGGGGAAGGGGGGAGCCGACGACAGCGCACCAAAGGGGGCGCCGGGGCCGGGGAGAGGGGCGAGCGGAGGGGGGGGAGGAGGAGGGAGGGGGGGGGAGGGGGGGGCAGGGGCCCAAAAAAAAGGGAAAAAAGCGGGCGGGCGGGACGGGGACAGAAGGGCGGCAGAGCAGGGACGGGGGGAGGCCGAGAACGCGAGCGGCGAACAAAGAAGGCGGGCCAGACAAGCCAGAAAGGGAAAAGAACGGGACGCAGGGGGAAGGAAACAAGCGGGGAGCAAAGGGGAGGGGAGGGAGCGGGCGACCGAGGCGACCAAGGCGAAGGGAGAAGAGGAACCCAGGGCCGCAAAAGCGGACGGGAAAAGAGCGGGGAGCACCAAAGGGAGAGCACCAACCGGGAGGCAGCACGGGCCCGGCGCGGGAGGCGAAGGGCCAAGGGGAAGGAAAAGCGGGAGGAAGGCAGCGGGGCCGGCGGGGCAGGGACGGGCAGGGGAAGACCCGCACAAGCACGGAAGGAAGGCCAGGGGGGGGGGCAAGGAGGAAACCCACAGGGGGGACGGAAGAACAAAGCAAGGGGAGAGCCGGCCCAGGGCGGGAAAGAGGCAGCGAAGGAGGGCGAGAGGAGGACCGGCCGGAAGCAGCACCACAGGGAAGAACGGAAAGACACGAGGCCGGGAAAAAAGAGGCCCAGCGGCAAGGGCGGCCAACAGGAGAAAGGAAAGCGGGGGAGAAGGCAAAACAAGGGAGAGGCAGGAGAGGAAGAGGGGAGCGGGGCAAAAAGCGGGGGCAAGCGGCCCACACCAGCAAAGGAGGGAGCAAGGACGCAGGCAAGGACGGGGAGGAAGGACGGGGGCCAAGGGAGAGAAGCAGGAGGGAGGCCGGCAAGCGGGGGGCGGGAGGGGACAAGACACCAGACGCGGCAAGAACGCGAAGGGCGAACAGGGCCGGCAAAGGCGCAACAGGGGGGCAAGAGAAGAGGCCAACCGGCGAAGCAAGGGAAGGAGGGAAAGAGGGCGGCGCGGGAACAACAAAGGGCGGGGGGAACGACGCGGGGGCGGCAAGGAGCAGGAGGCAAGAGGCAAACGGGAAAAGCAGGGGGAAGGGGCGCGGGAGGGGGGCACCAAACGGAGGCCGGCCCAACGCGGCAAGAAGAACCGAGGGAACAAGGCAACAGGGCGGGAGGGGGCCGGGACAACCGCAAGGGAAGGAGGAGCCGGGCGCCAAGACAGAGAAGCCGGGAGGGAGGGAGCACCCAAACCGGAGCGAGGGGAACGCACAAGGGAACCAGGGGGGGCAGAAGCGGGCGAAGGGCAGCAGGAGAGACAACCAGGGCCGGCAAGACAACAACCGACCCAAAGCGCGAGCGCAGGGAGGAAGCGAGAAGAGAGGGGGAAAGCGCGGGCGACGAACACGGGGCAGGGGCAACAAGAAACACAACGAGGCCAACAAGAGACAAGAGCGAGGAGGCAAGAAACAAAGGCGAGGAGGCAAAACGGGGAAAGACAAAGGGGCCAACGAGCAACGACGGGAGGCGGGGGGAAGCACAGAGGGCGGGCAAACGACCCGCGCAAACAGGGGGGAAGCCGAAAGAGAAGGGAAGGGCAAGGAAGGGGGAAGGAGGGCGCGGGAAAAGAAGGGGGAGGGAAAGAAGGAAAGAAGGGCAGGAAGCAGGGCCAACAAGAAAGAGAAGGCCCAAGGGAAGCGGGCGGCGGGGCGGAGGAGGAACCAGGACCCCCAGGGCCGCAAGCGCGGGGAGAACCAAGAAGAGGAAACGCAAAGAAGGAGCGGGAGGAGACCGGGCGGGAAGGGGAGGCGAAGAAACCACGGGGAGAGGCGAGGGAAAAAGGACCGCGCGAGGCAAAGGGGCGAAAAGAGGGACGCACGAGGAAAAAGAAACGAAAGAAGGAAAGAAGGGAGGAAGGGAAAGGGCAAGAGAAGGGCGCGAGGGCGAGGCAAAGCAAGCGGCCGGAAAAGGGCAAAGACCCAGGGAGGGGGACGAGGCCAGGCAGGAGAAGGGGGGGGAAAGGGGAAAAGGCGAGGGGAGAGGGAGGAGCGGCGAGGAAGGGCAGGCCAGAGGCGGGGGAGGCGGCGGGAAAGCGGGGACCCCGGAAGAAAGCGAGGAGAAGAAGGCAAGGGCGGAGGGAGCGACGACAGAGCCGAGGGGGGGGTTGGCGAAGGAGGATGGTGAGGGGGAAGGGGGAGAACGGGCGTGGCCGGCGGAGGGGGGGGGGAGAGGCGAAAAGAAGGAAGCATGAGGGGGCGGAGGAATGGCCGCGGCGGAAAAACCGCGCAAAAACAAAAAGGGAGAAGGCAGAGGGGGAGGCGGACATGAGGGAGGTCGAAGGCGGAAACTGATGGACGTGGGAAGAGGGAGGGAGACCAGGGAAAGCGCGATGGAGGAGAAGAGGGCAGTAAGGGGGGGAGGCGGGGATACGGGGGGACAGGGATGGAAAGTGGCGGCGAATGTGAAAAGAAAGAGAAGAAAGTAGCGCGGTAGGACGAAGTCGGCAGGGAAAGGCGACGATGGTCGGGAGAAGACGCAGAAGCAGCGAAAGGGACTGCAAAAAGATGGAGGGAAAGGTGTAAAGCAAGAGTAGATAGGCGAGCCAACGACGAGAACAAAGGCCGGCGGGGGAGGGCAACCGAAAGGATGGGTGGGGCCATGGCGGGGGCTGGCGCGAGCGCAGGGCATGCCCCAGGCATGAAGTCTGGTAGCCGGGGGGGTGCAACAGGGGGGACAAGGGGGAAGAAAGGGTGGGGGACGGGAAGAGGAGTGGAGGTGGTGGGGCGGACAAGGGGCCAAAGGGGCAAAAAAGGGACGAGGAGGGGATGCCAAGAAGTAGAGGGAGGAGGGTGGGGGAAAAAAAGGAGAGGAGGGGCGCCGGCGTGGGAAGTGTCAGTAAAGTAGATGTGACAGAAAAGAATGGGCCAAAGTGGGGATAGGGGGGCGAGCATGATCCGCGGGGGAGAGGGAGGGGCGATAGAAAGGAAGCCCAAGAAACCAGGGAGGGGGGGAGCCCAGGGACGGACACGGCGCCGGCGGAGGGCTGTGCGAGCGAGGGATGGCGAGGCGGCGGCAGAAGGTGGGGTCGCGGATGAACGGGTCCGGCAGGGGCGGGGAAGCTAAAGGTGACCAGGCTAGAGGAAGGGGAGAATGCGCCATGGATGGGCAGCGGAGCGCGCACGAGCCATAAGAACCGAGTGGGGCCGAGGAGGGAGGCCCCAGGGGAACCACGGGGAGCGGGTAAGGCGCCAGGCGGGCGGGGGGTGGAACCACAGGACAACCGTGGGAGAGCGATAAAAAGAAGAGCTGCACTCAGTCGGAAGAACGAGCCGGGCATGCAAAAAGGGGGCGAGAGGCGGGGCAAGCGACGGAGGGGGGTGAGAGAAGTAAGGGGGGTGAGGAGCACGGCGGGGGTGAATAGGAGGGAGGAAGGGAGCGGGGAGCGCATGGCGAGGGGGCCTGGGCGGCGGCGAGGAAAAAGAAAACAAAGACAGGTGCAGGAGGCAATAAAAAAAAGAGGGAAGGGGAAAGAATGGAAAGGAAAAAAAAGGGAGAAGATGAGGGGCGCAAAAAAAAAAGGGGCCGGAAAAGGGAGGGGAAAAAGGCAGAAATCAAGCAGCAATTGGGGAGGGAGTGAGGCCAAATGAAAAGGAGCAAGGGGAAGAGGAGCAAGGCGGGAGGGTCGGCGAAGGAGAGGGGGAGGGGCAAGGGAAAGGCGGAAAGGAAAAAAGGGATGGGTGGTGGAGAAGTGGGGAGGGAGGGCGCCGCGAGGGAAAGCGGGACGGAAGCGACGTGGACAAAGAGGGCCCGACCGGAACCCGAGCCCCAGGACAACCGGGGAAAAGGCCGGGGAGGGGGGCAGGCACGGACTCGGGGAGGGGGAGGATGAAGACAGTAGTGCAAGCCGAGGCGGAGGCAAGGGTAGAAGGAGAAGGAGAACCGGGACGCGGAAGGAGACCCAGCAAACACGGAGGGAGAGGGAGAGGCCGGGACGCCGACGGACGGGGGCGGGCGAGAAGGGCAAGACAGCTGCCGAACGGAGAAGGGCAGGGGGACGGCGAGGATGGGCAGGAGGAGGAGGGACGGGAGGAAGGCGAGTGGCCAGGACGGCGCAAATAAGAGGGGGCGGGGGACAAGCAAAGGGGGGAGGGGGAGGAGGGAGGGCAGAGGGGACCAAGCAGAGGGGAGGGACAGCGGGAGAGAAGGGGCGAGGAGGGAGGGTAAGAGGAGCGAAGAAGGAGGAGAGTGAGAAGGGGAGAGAGAGAGAAGAGAGAAGAGAGAAGAGAGAGAAGACAGATGAAGAGACGAGTCGACAGGACATGAGAGACGTACGGACAGGATAGTGAAGATGGCGAGAGTGCATGAGAAAGGAATAAAGAGAAATCGGGAAAAAGGAAGTGGCCGGCAGGCAGGCCCATCAAGGAAGGAAACCGCAGAGCTGGACGCAGGCCCCCCGGGGGGGGTGCGGTGGGGGACAGCGCAGGGGCGGAGCATCGGTCAAAGGCCCGCAACATATGATGAGCGGGCCAAAAAGGCGGTGGACCCGCCGGGGCATATGCGGCCAGACCGCCGGAGGGAGCGGACGCGGGCGCATAAGGGTTGGAGCGCAGGGATGCGCGGGGGGGGATGCCCTTCCCCCCCCCCCCCCCCCCCCCCGCGCGGGAGCCACAGGGCCAGGCGCCGGGCGGGGCACGGCGGGTGAGCCGCGACCGCCGAAGACAGAGGAGAGTGGGAGAAGACTGGGAGGGGGGGGGGGGATAGAGGGAGGCGGGGAGAACGGACAAGGAGGATGAGAGGGAGAGGAAAACAAGACGAGGTGAGGGGAACGGGGGGACCGGGGGGAGTGGGACGGGACGGCGGGACAGGTAGTGGTGGGGAAAGGAGAGGGGACAGGGGGGGAAAAAGAAGAAGATAGAAGAAGAACACAGGGAAAAAAAGGCAGGGCGGGGCGGGCCGCGCCGCAGGGGAAGCCCGCCGGAGATGGGGGGCCGGGGGAGCCCGTGCCCGCGACGAGACGGCGGGGGGGGGGGGGGCCCGGCCCGCCCCGCCCGAGACCGGGGCGACGGCCTGCGGGCAACAGTAGGGAAGGGCAGGGGCGGGAGACAGCCGGCAATAGGCGGGAAAGGAGGAAAGTGGAGGGGAGGAAAAGTAGGGAGCGGGGAGGGGAAAGGGGGAAAGAGGGGAAAGAGGGCGAGGCGGAAAACGGGCAGGCGGGAATGCAGGGGCGGGCAGGAGGCGGGAAGGGGGCAAGGGCCAGGCGGGCCGAAGGGGCGGGAGCGGGGGGAGGAAGAGCGAATAGGAAAAAGGAAGGTAAGATGGCAAACGTGGAGAGAAGAGAAAGCGCCACAGAGGGAGACACTGGCAAAAGAAACCGTAAAACGAGGTCCGACATCCAAAGGGCTCCCCCGGGCACGCCAGGGGAGAGGGTTCGACAGCCACAGTGCCAGGACCGGGGGGCGAGTAGCCGGCGAAACGGGCGCGCGGGGCCGGCGGCGCCAAAAAACCCACAAGCGCGCCGCGGAGGGGACGCGGGCTGTAAATAAAGCCCACCTGCGAAAGCGTCGCGCGGAAAAGCCGCGTGCCGGCCCGCCCCGCCCAAGCAAGGGGTGACGACGGGTAGGAGTGGAGGAGGATGGGTGAAAGCAAGGGCAAAGCCGGAAAAAAAGCACTGGGAAAGACGGACAGGACACGAACACGGAACACATGGAACACGACGAGAGGGGGGCCTAGAGAAAGCGAGAAGCGGGGAAGGGAGAACACACGAACACGAGGACACAAACCAAAAGAACAGGGATGGAAAGACCAAGATATAGAGGTAGTATGAAGGCAGCGCGCGGAAACCCGGGACCCGCCCCGCCTGGACCGGGCAGCCGAGGCGTGGACGGTGCGAAAAACCCGCCGCCGGCGGATGCAAAAGGGAAGAACCCGGCCCCCGACCGAGGCGGGAGGGCGCGGAGGGACCGGCGGGGAAAACCCAGGGGCGGATGCGCCGCGGAGGGTGCGCAGGGTTAAGAGGGCGACAGCCACAGGCCGGACATAAAGAAAACAAGGAATGACGGCACGCGGGAGGGGGAGGCGGGGCAGTGAGGCCGAGGAAAAGAGTAGAAGGGACGGAAGGATGTGAAGGGTAGGAAGCAGTGAGACAGATGCGACGAAGGACGGCTAGGAGAGAGGGAGAGGAGATACGAGGACGAGGAGAACGGGAGAGCGAGGGGAGGATGAGTGGAGAGAGGAGGAGGAGAGAGGAGAAGAAGAACGAAGGAGGAGAGAAGAGGAAAGAACGAGGGAAAAGAATGAGAAAAGGACCGTAAAAGAGGAGCGTGCGGAAAAGAGGCCGAGCAAAGGCCCCCACACGAAAACAGGGGCGGGGCCCCAAGCAAAAAGAGGAGGGGCGAAGGAAAGGAAAGGAAAGGCCCAAAACGCAGAACAGAGCAGGAACAACAAGCGGAAGCACCCGGCAAGGAAGAAGGGAGCACCCCGGGCGGAAAAGGGAGAAAACGAAAGAAGGAAGCCCGCACAGGAAGAGCACGCAGCACGCAAGGGGGGAGGGGGAGAAAGGGCACGCAAGGGCAGGCCGAGAAAAGGGCGCGACCAGAGGCGGGCAGAGCGGCGCAAGCACCACGACAAGAGGCAGGCAGGACACAAAGCAGAAGGACGGGCACAGGGGGGAAGGGGGCGAGGGGGAAGGGAGGGAAGAGGGAGGAAAGGAGCGGAAACAAAAGCGGCAAACGAGAGGAGCAAAGAAAGACAAGGAAGCCAACACCCGCAAGGGCCAGCAAAAACACGAGGACCACAGGAGCAGGCAAAGAAGGCGGCCGCAGGAGGACCAGAAGGGCCCGGACGGCAGGGAGGGAGAAGGAACGGCAACGCAAAAGCAAGGGCGGAGGCGGGCGCAGGGGCGCAGAAAGGGCAGCAAGAGGGGCGGGGCAAACAGAGAGGCGCCAGGGGCCAGGGCAGGGGGCAAGGGCCAGAGGGGGGGGGAAGCAGGAACGGGCGGCGGGGCGGGGCAGAGAAGACCAACGACAAAGGGCAAGGAAGAGACAACCCACCGCACGCGCAAGCAGAGGAACAAAGGAAGGGAGCCGCCCCCACACGAGCGGCCACAACCGCACGGAGAGGACAAGAAGAAGCCAAAAGGGGCGCCACGAGGGAGGCAGCGGGGGGAAGGCAGGAGGGGAGAGAGAAAAGGCGGGGAAGGGGGGCAAAAGAAAGAAAAGAAGGGCCAGAAAGCGCAAAGGGGGAACAAAGGGAAAGAAAGCAGAGGACAAACCGGGGAGGGGGCGAGGGAGGCGCAAAGAGCAAAGAAGGGCCGGAAGCACACGGGAAGCAGGCAGGGGCGAAGGAGCGGGAAAAGAGAAGCAAGGCAAGGGCGAGAGAAACAAAAGGAGGGAAGAAAGCACACAAGAGAAAGAAAAGAAGACCGAAGGGGCAGGCAAGGGCGCAAAACACGCACAGGGGGAGGGCGGACGGAAGAGAGCCACGACAGAGCAAACAAGAAAGGCGAACAAACGAAGCACAACGGGCCAAACGAGGGAGGCAAGCAGGGAGGAAGGCAAGAAAGGAAAAGAGAAGAAGGGGGGCAAAAGAAGACGGAGGGGCAGAAAAGACGAGGAAAAGAGGGGGGAAAAGGGGGAAAAGGGGGACAGAAGCCAAACAAAGAAGAAAACGAAAGGCCCGCCCCCACACGGAGGAGCAACAGGGGCCCCAAGGGGGAAGAAAAAAGCACAGAAAAAGGGGGAGGGAAGGAGAAGAGGGAAGAAAAGAAAAAGAAGGGAACAAACACACCGGAGGGGGCCGCCCAAGCAGCGCCGGGGGGGAGCGGCGGGGGCGCGACGGAGGAGAGGGCGGGAAAGGGCCAGCGGCGGGGGAGGACCGGCGAGGAGGAGGAGGAGGCAAAGAAACAGGCCCGGCAGGCAGAGGAGGACGCAAAGAGGAGGGAGGAGGGGGCGGCGGAGGGCAGGAGAAGCAAGGGCAGCAAAGGGAACAAAGGGCAAAGAAGCAACAAAAAGGGCAAAAGGAGCAGCACGAGGAGAGGGCAGGGGAGCAGAAAGAGGAAAAGGCACAAGGGGACCAGGAGACGCCAGAGGAAGCAGACCACGAGGAAGAGCAAGGGGGGGGGCAGGGGGGAAGAAGGGCCGGCCGAACAAAAGAGGAGAGGAGGAGGGCCAGAGCAAGCACAGAAAAAGCAGCAGGAAAAACCAAGGGAGCAACGGCAACAAGCAAAGCCGCAAGCACACCCCGAGGAGAGGGAGGAGAGCCAGCAGCCAAGGGAAGGAGGAGACGAGAGGGAGGCAGGGGGCCAAGAGGGAAAGAAGCAGAAACAGAAGAGGGCAGGACAGGAAGAGAAGCGCCGAAAGCGAACAGAGCAGGGGCAAAGGGCACACCCACGGAGCAGGCACGGAAGAGGAAACAGACCGGGAGCGGGGCACGGGGCAGGAAGAGGGCGGGACGAGCCAGAGAGACAGGCGCGGGCACGGGCACGGCCGCAAGGCGGGCAGGAGGGCGGGCGGGGCAGAGGGCGGACCGCGGGGAGAAAAGGGGCAGAGCGAGGGACGGGGCCAGAGAAGCGAAAAAGGGGGAGGAGCCAGCACAGGCACGAAAGGGCGCAGACAGAGCAGGAGGGGAGGGGCCGCGGAGGGGGGCGAAAAGAGCGGGAGGAAAGGGGGGGACGGGGGCAGAAGCAGAAAAAGAAGAAAGCGGACCGGGGACGGCGCGGGAGGGGGGCAAGGAGGCCGGCACGGAGGGCCGGGGCGAAAGCAACAGGCGGGCCAGCGACAGACGGCGCAACAGGAAGGGCACGGACAGGCGCGGAGGAGGAACAACGGGGGAGAGGGGAAGGGGCCAGAACGCGGGGCGGCCAACCGACGAACCGGAGGGGCGAGGGGGCCCAGGGGCGGGCCAAGGGGGAAGACGAGCCGGGGGGCGGGAAGACGAGCGCGGGGCGCGGGGGGAAGAGGGGGGGGCGGGGGGAAACGGCAAAGGGGGAGGAGCAAGAGAGGGAACAAGAGCGGCGAGAGGCAGACCGGAGCGAGAGCGGGGGCGGGGGGGGGCGGGAAGGAAAGGGGGGGCGAGACGGGGAAAAGGGAACGAGGCGGAACAAACGGGGGCCCGGGGGAGGGCCCAGAGCGAAGGGGGGGGGAGCCCGCCAGCCAGGAGGAGAGGGAGGGGAAAAGGGAGCAGACGGACCGGGAGGGGGCCAGGAAAACCGCCAGCCAGGGGACGGGGGCAAGAGGGGCGGCGGGAAGAGGGGGGCAGGCAGCAGGGGGGGCCCAACGACCGAGCAAAGGCCACAGGCGGGGACAGGGGGCAGAGGGCCGACGGCGAAGGGACGAACAAGAGGAGGGAAACCAGAAAGGGGGGGGCAAGAGCAGAAAGAGGGACCGCAGGCACGGGCGGAGACGGGGGGACAAGGCGAGGGCCAAACGGGGGAGAAGGGGCAGCCAGGGGGCAAGGAGAGGGCGGGCAGCGGCGGGGGGCGGGGCAACGAAAGCACCACCGCGGGCGGCAGCAAGCAGGCGGCGAGCCAGGGGAAAAAGGCCGGCAGAAAAGGAGGGAAGGAGGAAGGGAGCACGAAGGGGAGGGGGGGGCAGCGGGCACAGAGGGCGGGAAACGCGCCCAAGAGGCAGACAAGGACGCGCCAGGGGGGGCCGGAGACCACAGAGGGCCGGGCGAAGGGGGGCCGCCCGGGAAGCGGGGAAAGAGGGGGCAAGGAACGAGGGCGGGCAAGGGAGGCCAGGGGGGGAGGCGCCCAGAAGGGAGAGAGGAGAGCCAAGCCGGCGCGGAAGCGGGCAACGAAAAGGGAAAGGCGCGCAACGGGAGGGGGCGGCAGGAACCCCGGGGGGGGCAGACGGGAACACACCACAGGGAAGGCCGGGAAGGGGGGGGAGGAGCGGCACCGGCAAGGCCAGGAAAAGAAGGCAAAAGAGGAAGGAAGCCCAGAGGGGAGGGCAAAGGGGACAGGAGCAGCCAGAGCAGGGAAAGGGAGGCAGAAAGGGGGCGGAGCGAAAGGGGGAGCGCCAAGCGCGGGGAAAGGCCGAGGGGGAGCCAGGGGGCCGCGGCGAAAGCAGAAGGGGCGAAAGCGGGAGCCAGAGCACGAAACGCCAAGGGCCGCAAAGCGGGGGCGGCC